AAAAGGACAGGAAATGTTACACCCTACTGTTGATAAATGAGCATGAATGATCTTGTAAGGCTGAAAATACAGCATATGCAGAGAAAACAGGGCAAAACTCAGGGGAGACAGAAGAAAACTGAACATCACAGAGTGTGGTGTAGGGATCTTGTGCGTAGTCCTGAGTTTTGAGTGGAAACTACGGAACAGCAATGTTACTGATGAGGCAACTGTAAAAAACATTTCTGAACGTAATAGAAACCAAATACCCTAACTAATGTTTCACCCTCAAAATAAACAGGTATTTGAAAGATGCTTCAATATTACTGTTTCCTGGAAAGTCTGTCCTCCACTATCACTGAGGAATCATTTCCTTTTTTTCATTTTGAGTTTTTTCCATGATAGGTTATTACAAGCTATTGAATATAGTTCCCTGTGCTGCACAGTAGACACTGTTGTTCATCTATTTTATATACAGTAGTGTGTATCTGTTAATCCCAAACTTCTGATTTGTCTCTTACCCTCTTCTTTCCCCTTTCATAACCATAAGTTTGTCTTCTATGTTTGTTTGTTTTGTAAATAAGTTCATTTGTATCATTTTTAAAAGATTCCACATACAAGTGACGTCATAACATTTGTCTTTCTGACTTATTTCACTTAGTATGATAATATCTAGGTCCATCCATGTTGCTGCAAATGGCATTATTTTATTCTTTTTTATGGCTGAGTAGTATTCCATTGTGTAAATACACCACATCTTCAGCCAATCATCTGTCAATGGACACTTCGGTTGCTTCCAGGAATCGTTTCTGAGACATGGTTTAATAACTCAAGTTTTATAACAGACTCTGCTGATTAGCTTAGACCAAAATGCTTTAAGCACTGAGATTCATGTCACCTAGGAGACAACCAGGACCAAAACTGGAGGGATTTCTTGGCTAGAAATCAGGTAATGAGTGTAATTTTCTGGAATTTTAATGACTGATTCACGTAAGTGAATGCATGCAGTTATTTGCCATATTTAAAAATTCACTCTTATCTGGGCATGGCTGCTCCTGGCTGACAGCACGACATAGGAGCCATTTTTCAATTTTCTCTTGCTTTCCGTAGGCAGCTCCTCTTATACTTCCAAGAGGTGAGCATCCAGCTCTTGACTGCTTGCCCTGTGCCCAGGGCTGGCCTCCCTAAGTCTCCTTGGATAGCCTCACTCTCCTGCTCTGGGCACTCAGACTTCAGTGGCTGTTAGGTAGAGTCACAGGATTAAACCAGTCCACGCCATGCACTTGCAATGCCTAACAAGGCCAAATGGGATTCTGAGTCCAGGGCCTTTGCACCGTAAGAGGAAAATGTTACTCTGAAGGAGGGACTCTTCCACGGTGCCATTCCATGAAAGAGTGGCTGCGAACGAGGGGTGACCCTGTTCCGCACCCTGCCCCCCGCAGCTTCCCTCGAGTTGGGCAGACCATCTCCTCAAGCCCGGCTGGTGGCCTTCAGGCCAGCGCTTGAGATGGTAGCGGTGTTCACGCTTCCTCAGTACATCAGGCGTGGCAGGCATCTCAGCGTGGCCGAGGGGCTGGGCACTTACCTCCAAGTCCTGTCTCACCCAAGGGGGAGGAAAGCAAGGCGAGCAGGTCACCAGTGTCACAGAATTGGGCTCTCCTGGTGCCATTAGCACCCTGCGCTCTCGGTTCTGGGACCTGCAGAGCTGACCTAGGGGGTATGGGACACTGGGGATACAGGAGAGCGGGCCTTCTCCTTCTTTGAGGCATTTAAAGGCGTGTAGCAACGATGCCTTTACTCCGTGTCCTGTATCTCTGGCTCCGAGAGCAGTTAGGGTGGGTTTGGGTGGCCAGTAGCTCCTCCTCCAAGACAGCGTGACTGATGCTCCCTCAGGTCCCCTCCTTCTCAAGAGTTTTCTAGGATTTCAAGTGTCTGGCTGCCTTCCCTGTGTATTTCAGAAACCACACCTGTCTTCATTGTACGAGTTCTTCTAAAGCAACGGGAAATCAGACAGCCAGACGGACACATTTGCACAGATGTCTATCAGACAAACACACTTATTACAGTTGGTTCCAGATAAGCTTCAGTTATCTAATTAAGTAAAGTTAAAATAAAGCGTTCTGGGGTGGTGGGGCGGGAGGGGAGGTTATAAAAGGGGAACTGGAGGGATCCTTGTGTGATGGAATATTCTGCTTCTGGATGGTGGCAGTGGACGCCCAGCCCTACACACGTGATAAAATGTCACACAACTAAATTCATGCACACAGATGAGTGTGTGGAAAACTGGGCGATCCGGTTATGACTGGGGAACTGTGTCACTGTTGATGTCCCATCATGATGGTGTGCACACTGCTGTATGAGGTTACTACCCGTGAAGTGGACGTGGGAGATCTCTGTACAATTTCTCACAACCGCAGGAGAGCCTGGACTTACCTCAGGATAAAGGGCCTAATTACCACAGACTGGCACCTGCAACAAAACCATTCATTTCTCCCAGTTCTGGAGGCTGGGAGGTCCAATAATCAAGGCTCTGGAAGATTCAGTGTCTGGAGAGGGCTGTCTTCTCGCTGCGTCTTATGCGGTGGGAGGGTGGGGGAGCTCCCTAGGGTCTCTTTATAAGGGCACTAACCTCATTCACGGGGCTCCACCCTCACGACCCAATCACCCCCCAAAGCACCCCTCCTGACGCCATCACACTGGGGATTAGGATTTTGACACCTGGTTTTTGAGAGGACACAACATTCAGTCTGTGAGCACAGGATAATCATCTGATTCCTGTGTTACAGCAGAAAATCTTTTGTTTTTAAAGAAAAACCTTCCTTGATCATCCAGCTGTTCAGCTGTTACGATTATACTGAAAACCTCTCACTGATTCAAAACGACTCGGAGTAAGACATCTGATTACTGAAGCAGCCTGGTTCTTGAGAGTCAGTGAACTTGTGTGAACCAGATCAGTTACTAATTTCAAAGGATGCACAGAAAGTAAAATATATTTAAGTGAGTCATCTCAAGTTCATTATGGGTGAAAGATAACAAAATACTTAGCATAACATAAGAATTATCTATTTATATGTATTTTTTAAACATTTGGGTTAAATTTGGGTTTTTTCCCCCAAGATCTGGCAGGGTGTCAGAAATGTCATGTATTTCAATAATTACTGTGATGAGAAAAAAGTTAGCGAATGTACATCTTGCAGATAAAAAACTTAATGATCAGATTCCCCATATCAGCTGCCATCTTCCTTTTTTCCTAGAAATGGAATATATTTAAGTTTTCTGCCATTTCTGAGGTCTTAACACTTTCTAATTTCTTCTTCCTTAGATGAACACATTTCTACAAGGACGGTGTCAGGTCATGACTTTTGTAATGTTTCAAACAGAGTCAGCATTAAAATTTACCTCTCCTGCACTCAAGTGTCTACCAGAAGGCGGACGGGTTTCTCCCAGGCTCTGTTCCGTAATCGAGCATCTTATCTCACGTGTAACAGCTCGGTTCACGGCCCGACAGCAGAGGTACGTTCGCAGGGAAGACAGAAACATTGCCTGACAGCAAGGGAGCTCCGTGCAGCTGGTCCTGGAGAATGTTACCTCTTTCTTCAGACAAACCTGTTATTTTTTCCCCCACATCATGTGAAAACCTTGATGTTTAGAATCAGGAATCTTCTTAAAGCTCTGGGACAACTTTGCTCACCTCCTCACCTGGGGGGATGGGTGCCACAGGGGACGTAATAACCAGACTTGAAACCAGGGACACCGATCACGCCGGGGTCTCCGATACGTATCAGCGTCGTATGAATTATCGTGCAGCATTTGAACTGCCGACAGCAAGTCACTGAATTCTGTCAGTGTTCTACCCGCAGGTGATGTTTCACATGCTCCATGGGGTTCCTATTCCATACTGAGCTTCCAAACAGGAGTCTATTATAAGAAAACCTACTCCTGTGGTGGTGAGAAATTTGCTTTTTGAAAAATCCGTATTGCTATATCAACCTTCATTGGTATTTCTTAGCTTATTTGGTATTAGTTATTTAATATTTTAGGAAAATTCTTATTTTACCTTTGGCATCTTCCTTTTACCTGATAATTAAATGCAATCGGTGCTGGCTCTGATTGAACTGTTACTTAGAGATACTCAGTATCTGTGTGTGCCGCTCAGCACACACCCACTCCTATCATTATGTCAGTCCTAATGATCCTTCCAAAACACACTCGTCTACTGAGGCACTTAATCTGCTGGTTCTTTCATTTTTCTGGCCTTTGAACCATCTTTTATTTAATGAGCTGCAGCCTCAGGGCATCTCGGGGGCCAGGGGAGCCCCAGATTCTCCTGACTTCTGCCTCCGACATGCCCGCTGGCAGAAATCAAACTCAAATGAGCGTGTCTGCCACACAGCATGTGCTCAATGTCGGGGTGCCAGGAGCACCCAGGTTTGGTAATCCTCTCTGTGATATGAATACAATTATCATTTTCATTTGGGCTTGACAGTAAAAGGACGATTTTATTGCAGCAGGACAAACTCATGCTTTTGGCTCCAGATGGCTCGACAAGGACCAGGGTGGAACCACTTTCAAGAACCTTGACTCAGCGCTTAAACCCCACCCACCAAGAGACGTGTATAGCACGTGGTCACAGACTCCACACCGTCGGAGACGCTCAAGCAGACCTGAACCCCTGGCTGTCAGGAACACAGCCAAAGAGACGGGAATCAGGACACCTGACGCTCACTTTCCAGCTCTGTGATGACACACATCTGAAAAACCACGCAGATTAACATGAAGCCTTACCTAGGCTCCTCTGATTAAGGCCCATGCAGAACATACCATTCCAAAACCTATAAAGAAGAAAAAGTTAGCAACTGTTTATTCTGCATCTGAAAACACACACCCGTCAAAATCACACAGTTCGGACAAAGCTCTCCTGAGTCTCTCCTGTGATGGCACAATGGCTGATTTGTCCGCTGACGCCAGCACCACCCTCTTCCACGCTTTTTGGCTCCAGGTGGGACACGACGCACACAGCACACCAGTGCAGATCCTTTATTAAAGCAACAATCAAAATACAGGATGGGTCATGTGGATTTTCAGGGTTTTTTTTTTCCTTTGCTGCTAGATCAGCTTAAATATTAGTCATTGGTTTACATGTTTCAATTAGTTTTTAAAAGTTACAATTCACAAATCAACAGTTTGACATTTCCGCCCAGATACATTTTCCCGTCTGGTTTTCCGGTTTTCACAAAGGATGTCTAGACCCAGAGGTTCAGCACATGGGACGCAGGAACAAGTACCTCCCGTGACCCCGACTCACTGCAGGCAGCTCCAGGGTGTCTGAGGGACACTGGAAGGTTTCCATTCCCAGTGAGATAAAAGTAATTCACGCCGGAATATTCTGAGAACTTTTTGCTTTCTGCTTTTACTTTCTCTACGAGCTTCAGTTTTGATTGTGGTCATCTAAGCATTAGCCTCCTGAAAAATGGCATCTCTAAGAAAAAAGTCTCAATTAAAGATCCTGGTCACCTCCATACGAGGTTTTCTTGTATAACAAGCACTCAGTCCTCAGGAAAGCATAATGAGCAATTCTGTTTTATTTGATTCTTTTCCCCACCACTGATTTGCTTAATCCAAACCTTATTAATCACTGTAGGAACCCTAAGAGTCATTAGGAAAGTGAACTTTGTTATCTACTGAAGGATTTTTAAATGAATTGGTGAACGTAAAAATGACTTAATTTCTTGAAGGTAACAGGTGCTCAAACTATGTGTGTGAGTATACGATGCGACTCGGTAGACACTGAAAGAGAACCCATGAATTAGTTTAAAAAGAACAGAAACAGGGATCATGATCTTAAGGGACTGCAAAAACGTTTGCGAGGAGAGGTCCAGGATGGTCGCCGCACTGTGGAGCATCTGAACGTTACGGTAACTGCTCTACTTTCTCCCCCAGGGAAACGCTGGAGGAAATCCCTGGTCTCAGCGCCGCAGGGGCTGCCACTCAGGGGCCTCACCCTGGTGCAGCCCTGTCGCCCCGCCTGCGAGCACACGGAGTCGGGGCTGCTTTTCTGACACGGCAGCGCCAGTGCCTGGGATGGCCGTGCCCGGCTGAGCTGGTCTGTGCTGTCTGCTCAGGACATGCAAATATTCCCTGGGCCCCACGTTTCCTTCACCAGCTAGAGCTGAACAGATCCCGGGTCACCAAAAAATAACAATCCAAGCACGCGACGCAGAACGTCGTCAGCCCAGGGAACGCGTTACGGAGCCGCAGGTCACGTCAGCCCTTCCACCAGGTGCTTTCTTACCTCACGTGTGCCCTTGAAAGGGCAGCTTCAACAACACGGCCTTCTGCAATTAAAAACTGAAACGCACAATAAAGAGACAAAGAAGGGAGGATTCTGTGCTCCACATTGGAATTTGACACAACATTGTAAAATGACTATAACTCAATAAAAAAAATGTTAAAAAAAAAAGGGAGGATTCTGGACTCCAGTGTGTGGGATGTCAGGCCCTCTGACCTAGGCTTTGAAACAAGAAATGCTCATCAGCCTCTGAGACCAATGCTTCCGGGTGTAACGGGTCACACGGCGCAGCAGGCTCGGTGGGCGAGAACACGCAGGGGTTTTCAGAGCGACTTCTGCACGTTACGTATATCACATTTGGTTCCTAGAGATTTCGTCAAGTATTAGTATTTTTTTTTCTGTCAAGTATGATGTACAAAAAGATGAGAATAGTAGATGTGCCCTAAAGATATGAAAATATAATATATAAAACAAAACCATTATAAATTACATAGATTTGCAGTATAAAATTGCTTTTTTCCCCATTTAGAATAAATACCATCCAAGTTTACAGATCATCTCAGTGAATTAAATACACACACATATCTGAATCATTTTCAGAATTTCAAGAAAAAAAAATCGCTAGAGATATGACCGATGACTCAGAAGCCAGAAACTGTTGGCTTTTGAGAATGACGACAGAAAAACCCAAAGGACATGGCTTGGGATTTAGAGTTGAGCTCTTAAAAACTGCCCGAATGAGTCTGATGTGTGTGTGTGTCTGTGTGCGTGTACAGACACAGACACACACATGCAGCCGTACGTCCATGAATCTCCATGAAGCGGAAGGGGTTAACTCATCTTTGAAAAATCAGCTGGAAGTCACGAGGTCGTGGATTCCAAGTTCCAGCAGGAGAGCCTTTGTCACTCCAAAGAGACACCGCAGGAGGGGAGGAGAGCGGAGACTCTCCGGACGGAGGAACCTGCGTTGGGAGCCAGCCTCCTTTTTGGTCGGCTGTCACCCTGTCAAGAGCTTTCCGACGCCTCAAAGACAGGGAGCATGTTGAAAATCTACACAATCTCCCCAGTCTAAAGAAGCTAAAACCAACCTGAAAACATTCTTTGGTCACACATTCCTGCTCCTGCTTCATAAAAAAATCTGCCTGTTTTAAACTTTCTACCCCTAGTCAGTGTCTAGATGGGAGAGACACCTTTTCCTGTAACTACGTGGATTTTGGTGGCGCAGACTGGACACCGTGGGAGGAAGTCATACAGTGTCACAAAATCAGCACCTGCCAACATCAGGACAAGCGGAAATGATTATGCTCTGAGAGCTGGAGATAAAGCTTTCCTGCCACTCAAATACAGCAGACCCTCGACCAGAGAGCCGAAGCGGGACTCCAGGAATCTCCTGGTTGTTCAGCACTAACTTTTTATGTGACCGCCCAAGACACTCCTAACTAGATGGCAGCAGGTCATTCCAGGCCAGGACGTATCTGATCCAAGTCTGCGCCTTGTTGGCTCACCTCCCACCTCCCACACTGGTTTTCTATAGACAGAGAAGGCCCTCCAGCCAAGCCCTCTGCCCTCAGCTACAGGGCCAGATACATTCATTGGCTGTAAAGTTTGCGCAGCAAAAGCACCCACCCCATGGGCAACCCGTCACCTGCCCACTTCCGCTCCCAGTATTGCTTGTCTCAGGAAAGGGGTCAATGGGGGGGGGGTTACACACCTTCCATAAAACAAGATCTCTGAACCCGATGTACCACCTCCGCGTCGTGCAGATGAGAGGGATCAGACCAAGGGGGGCGTCTAAGGTCACTTGTCCGGACAGCCAGAGTGAGGACGGGACATCAGGGCTGTGCTTCCGCGGTCAGTGAGGCCCACGGCCCACGGTGTGGCCGCGACCCTCATGACGGCTCCCCCGCCCACCAACGGAAGTAAATCCCCTTCGCTCTTAGCACGGCTGCGTCTGAACGGGAGGCAACTTTGGGGGGAGAAGAGCCACAACTTGCTGAGAGAGCTCAGAGTCCTCTGAGACCAACTCTCTTTATTCGCATTAATACTAATTTTCAGCAGAAGAACTGTCAGGAGAACCACGGAAGTGGAAATCTTTACCATGACTGCAGAGAAGAGCGGGGCGACCTCACTGGTTTGGTTCTGGGGGACAGTGAGACCATCTAAGTGGCACTCAGAGCCCGGCTGGTCTGTCCCTCTGAGAGATACGGAGCTGAGACCTGCTCGCCCAAACCCCGCGGTGGTCGCCCCCTAGCCAGGTGAGGCGCTGGCCTTCGGATGACCGGCTCCGTCCCCCTCCTGCAACGTCTCTCTGCCTCATGTGCAACTGCTTTCTGGTGGGACTAAAACTTACTTCGAGAAATTTGGCATGCGATTCGATGCTATCACGCTAAACTTTCTCTCCTTCGAGGATGGACTAATGCTCTCCGCGTCACAAGTGGGGGCCTGGCTCTGTAACCCCACAGACCTCACCCTTAAGGCCCCAAATCAAGTGTCTGAGCCACCTGACGGCACGCGGTCCCTGCCAGCCCTCGCGGAGACCCCGCTCTAACCTGACTCATCAGATGGCTCTGTCTTTGGAAGCAACACGTTTCCAGAGGAAGCAGCAGCCTCGTGTGGGGATGACGGGACTAAAACGTAAAGACAATGCTTCCCACGGACAGGTGGGGTGTGCCCTGCCTCACAGTCTCTCTCCAAGCTCAGCTGAGCTCACCAAAAGGCTCCCAGAATCGGACGGGTAAACACATTTCTATCTGGCTATTAAAGTGCTATTCTCGGGCAAGGTGTTTTTTTGTTTTTTTCTGAGTTTCACAACAGCAGCTTCATCGGAAACAAAAAGGGTGACATATGACACCAGCCTGGGGACCCAACAGAAATCACAAGGCTGGTAACCGCTTTGGAACATCGCAGGTGACTTGCAGGTGGCAGCCCTGACACCAAAGCCCCCGAGGTAAATGTTCTGGGGGGACGGAAGGACAAAGTGGCAAAGAGGATGGAACGGAAGGGACGGTTAGCATTCGCAGAACAATGACTCTGTTTTAAAGGGACGTGACGGGAGCGAAAACCGAGAAGAAAGTGCAACAGACCCACGGACGATGTGCAGCTGCTCTCAAAGCAGACCTGGAACCGCTCAAAGGAAAAGCCACAAGGGATGCATCGGACAGGGCTCTTGAACTCGGGTCATCTTACAGCCGGGGACTCTTTGCCACATGGGCATCACCGATTAAGGTATTTGGCAGAGAACAGCCTCTGGACTTGGGATCACGCGGACAGACGTCCTCGACTCTGCACCCTGAGGTCCCTCACATTCTGTTTTCCTGGGGAAGTGCCAGCCACCACCAATGGTACACAGGTGTCTCTCCCGGTGACACGGCACCTCCTCCATCTGCGGGGTGAGTGTCTCCTGTAAGGCTTAGCGGCGAGTGAGGACTAGGTCAGTACTGCGAGGAGCAGCCCCTGATTCTCCAGATGTGCACAGCTCCTGGAGTGGCTGTTAGACATGGCTTTCATAGACAACACAGGCATCTCTGTCCCGCACCCCGGCTGGCTCCGCGGCCTCCAGGAGAGGGGGCGGCAGGACCCGGTCTGAGACCTCCACTGGCGTGGGCTCCTCAGAGGTCAGCGCCGCGGACGTGACGTCAGTGGAGGGCTCGGCGGACTCCGGGGACCGCTCAGCCGACGGCTCTGTGTCCTCCTCCTCTTCCGCCGGGAATGGTGCGCCCTCGTGGGCATCCGCGTGCTCCCTCCTGGACGGAGGGTGGATGGACACCTTGATGGCGATCTGCTGGGGGTGCTCAGGCAGCGACGAGGCGTCTGAGTCACCAGTGGGTGAGTCGCTCCTCTTCGGGGAGTCTGGGATGGTGTAGACCTCGTCCCCATCGGTGGCCTCCTGGCCCTCGGGCGCATGCCGCACGAAGTTCTGACCCTGCTCCTCCAGCCCCACCACCTCCAGGATGTCCTCCATGATGGTCCTGCAGTTCATGATCAGTGGAGGCAGCGGCACGCTGCGAGCCAGCTCCTCGATGTAGCGGGCGAACTCCATGGTCTTGAACTGGGTGACCTTGGCGAGCTCCAGCGTCTTGGCCGAGGTGATGATGGGGATGCGCTTGGCGATCTCGAAGGCCTTCTGCAGCTTCTCGGCGCCCTCCGTGCGGAAGAACTCGTTGATGGCCTTCTCCGTCTTCTTCAGGTGGCTGCTCATCATGCAGAGGCGGGTGACATTGAGGACCAGGACCACGGCGAAGGCCACGAGGCACACCACCATGTAGTACACGCCCATGTCCCCCGATGTGAACACGACCCGCAGCGTCACCGAGTTGTTCGTGGAGCCGTGGGCGTTGGAGGCCACACACGTGTATTTACCTCGGTCTGAGAAAGACACCTGGGTGATGTTCAGGAGGCCGCCGTGCATCTGCCACTTTCCTGCCGGAAGGAAGGGGAGAGATTCAGCCAGGACCTCTGCTCCCCTGCGGCGACCGCACCCCAGGTCAGTGGGAGCACCTGCCGCCACTGCTGCTGCTGCCACTGCTGC